TTTAGGGATAAGTGTTATTGATTATTACTTTCCACGGCAATTACCAGCAAGGTTCGAGTAGATCAAGTAAAACTAAGGTCTATAGGCGTAGACCAAAGTTCGAGCATGAATACTTGGGTCGATAACCAACAGCCGCGGGATAATCACGTAACAGTCATTAGCTGTCCACAGGCTGCTAATGGTGCATATTAGGGTTACATGACACCATGCTAGCAGAACAGGGTCCAAATAAAAGCCCAGACACGTGTTCCGCCGATACTCTCCCGCTACATGGTGCAGCCGCGAGGGGATCGGCTTACCAGCGAGTATCCTAGCACCCCATTCTGGTAAGCGTCTAAACAGCAGATTTATATTCGAGAAGACATTACTTACTGAACTGGAAAACTAACAATACTTACTATGCAATCGTCATGTCGGCTGCCAGGTCGAGGTTGGCCGTTTAAGTATTCTTACAACTGCCGTCTTTACTGAAGTATAGTATGATTAAACCGTGAAAGGTGCTCGCAATTTAAGACATCAGAGATCATACGATTCTTTCACCCGAGATCGTAAATGAGGAGACACATTATGTTCAACCGGTATGCCTCGACTTAAATTGAGGTTTTCAGCATATTGACCAGGCATTTTACTCAGAAACCTTCAAATCTCACAGAAAGTCGCCTAAATCAGCCGATTGAGGCAAGCGCATCTAAACTGCGTCCATGGACTTTAAGCTCCCATTGAAAGCGCCCTAAAGGAATAGGTTCTATGCGTTTACCTATATGGGCAAACCACTAAACAAGGAAGTTGAATATGCAGTCACAGACAGTGAACGGTACTGGTTTAAATGCGTGCTTGCAACATAAACTCTAGCCATATTCGATCGCATGTACTACCAAGTGGTCACCGCCTTATCCTCCAAAATGCATATGTATTCAGGTAGTTTGCGTGAGCAAATGTCTTTACGCTGTGGAAGTTCTGTTCTCCCGCGCCTCTCATAAACAGTAGGCAGGCAAAACACATCATGCACCATGGGCTTACCTAGAGCGGCCACATTGCTGATGAATGTCATCGTCATACTGAGGTTCAGATCACCATGCAGTAGGAGAGTCCAGACGTTGGAGCCACCACCTCCTGGAGAGCAGCCCGTAGTGAGGAGACCGAAGCCAACCTATGGTTTGATTGGCACCACCATCGCAATCCCGAATGCGATCTGTGGAAACAAGACGTGATCAAGTTTGCCTCAACCCAAGGTAGCCCTTTTTTCACATATCGACACTCTGCCAGCACAAAAACAATCGTCTTCCTTCCTCAGAGATTCTGAACTTGTGGGGTAACTCCTGATTGACTCCACTAATCATCTGGCTTTCGAGCGCGCGCCATGGCTTGTGATGGAATGCTTATAATTTTTATAACAGTGGTTGCCGTCCTATGTCGCTACAAAACTTTGGCGAACTATATTTTACTTAACAAGCTCTAGCGCTTCAAATGATGGTTTGCAAAAGAATCTGGTAACTGATTCAGCCTGAGTGATGATAGTCCGCAATAAGAAGCCACGCCGTCTTGGGTTCACTCCGTGCAGGCCGCTGGCCTGTTTAAAGCGAAAGGCAAGTCCACTGCTTGACAAAGGTCATTGCAATCGCCTAGGGAGGATGCTAGTCTCAAGGATCTTAAGATGCCATTAGCAATAACAAAAAAGCCTGTTTGTTATGTTTAATTAAAGAAAAAATGTTTTGTCGTTTACCTATCAGGGCATACGTGGCTTCAACGACTTTGCTCTATGCCGGTGTAGGCAATTGCTAAGGCAATTCAAATAAGTGGGAAAAAGTAGTAGATATTAACAAGCTAGATAAAAAACACTCGATTGCATTGGAAATGCAACAGAATGCTTTCCCGCCTGATGTTGTTTTTTACGATTTTGCGCACATTTCAGTAATAGTGACAGTGAGTACTCGAGACAACTTCCTTCACTTGGTTAGCAGCAGAAAGTTAAAATCGACCTTAGCTGGAATTTGACAGGTCTATGTGAGAGGAGGATTATTTTTGGAAAGTCATCGTTGGGATTGTGAAATTCTGTGCATGTTTGCAGTGTGGTCTGAGATGGTTCACGTCGTCTAGTTAGGTACAGATGCAGCAATTTTATGTAAATTTAGTTTCTTTTGAATATACAAAATCACGGCAACACTAACTCGACTGCTGCATTGGGTAAACGGATAGTGTGTTAATTTCAGTCATTATCAGAAGAGATCTTAAGTTCTACATCTGAAGTACGTTTGAGTTTTTCTGTTTAGGAGCCTGCGACATTCATTTCGAAACCCATATTTAATGTATGATAGTGGATATTTATTCCAAAGAACAGGAGTTAAGACATTATCTTCCGTTCAGAGGACAGCACTCGGTTTGTCGCATTTTTATCTATATAAATGTCAAAATATAGCAAACCAGCGTTTTCAGCGGGCATAACGAAGTTTGACTGTCAATTGCGACTACAGATCGCTTGCCTTTTTCCGCAGTTAAGCCAAAGACTAATTTCAGTCTCATAGGCTTTGCAGTACTCTATTCCTCTAGGCATTTAAAAGAGAGGCGTAATACTTGTTTCAGGAATCCCGGGTTTCCTAGTAAATGCAAATGCCGAACTGCCGTGTATATTTTTCTTTACAAGTACATAGCTTTCTAAATAAAAATATCACAAGCTCCTCAGGTTATGAAGTGCAAAACGGCGCTGGGGTGGGTAACGTGTGAATTACAAGGATTTTTACGAATTTCGTGACATTCCATGAGCTATGCCACCCAGTGTATTCTAAACTAATAACTTCGGAAATTAGCAAAGGCGGCACTTGGAATTTCCTGCTCGGGACAAGGCCATGCCGGCAGTCGCGAAACTACAATAAGCATTTTGGTGAAAGGCGATCAGCTGCTACAAGACAATCGAATAATTTTCATCCAAATAATCAAGAGAAATTATTTACAGTCTGATGTTTAAAAATGGCAACACCTTTGGATCCCAAAGCGTGATCCAAGCCTCCAGTGTATCTTCCAGCATTTTCTACGTGATTTGTCTCATGTACAGTTTTGGAAAATATTAAGCAATAAATCCCACTCGTGCATGACCTTCAAAACTCTTCTTTATGGTATTTATGAGCTCTGTCACTTGTCCGTGAAGGTATTTATGCAAAT